GTAAATCCCAGTAATAAAGATGGCTCTTCACACACAGGGGTGTCCAACTGTGAAGTTTATCCGTGAACGACACAGGTTTGAACCGCACAGGTCAACTGAGCTGAGGTCAAGTGAACAGCGTAGGTCAACTGAAAAAATCCACATGTAAGTGCATCCACGCTGTTCGAGGGTCAACTGCACTTTAAATTGAGACTAATCCTCAAAAGGGCATGGATTATATAACCCTCAGAAAGGCATAACCTCAACAGAAGACTAAATGAACCCTACAATAAAGGCTGCTGGGACCCATGCTGACGAAACTTAAAAAAGCCTCAAAAGGATTCAGCTGATACCAAGTAACTTATGTGTATGAAAACAAAGTTCAACCCTCTATTAAGAAATAAAGTTTCTTCACCCAACATTGTCAAACCACAATGTCCAGCATCCGAACAAAAATATAGGAAATGAAAAGAATCAGGAAAATGTGACCCATAAGAAGAAAAGTCCATCAATATAAAGAAGCCCAGGAACAATGAAGTTAATGAAATTAACAGATGAAGGCACTGCAACATTACAAATAAGCTCTACATTTCAGAAAAGGTAAAGAAAAATAAGAACATGAGAGAGAAATGGAAGAAGTTAAAACTTCCAGAGATGAAAAATAATGATCAGAAATAAAAAATACACACTTGATGGAATTAAAGACTCATATACTGTAGAAGACAGCGAACCTGAAGACATGACAATGTTAACCCTCTAAATAAAGCAGAGAAGAAAAAAAACATCAAAGAGCATAAGTGTCAACAAAGAAAATACCAAAAGTATAACTGGAATTTCCCCAGTCCCAAAACGCAAAAAAAAACCTGGGGCAAGTGGGATATTTGAAGAAATAGTGGCCAATATGTTTCCAAATTGGTTTAAAAAAACTAAAACGAAAAAAGCTAAGAAGGATTTCCTCGAAGAAAACCATATTCAGGCATATCATAATCAAATGACCTAAATACAATCACTGAAAAAGTCTTAAGAGCAGTCGAGGAAAATAATTTCCAGATGGAGGTACGAAGTAAGAATAACATCAGACCTTCCGTCAGCAACCAGGGGAGCTATTCAGAAACAATTTCACAACGCGTTACCGGAGATAAAGAGGGACATTTCAAGATAGAGGACCCAATTCATCAAAAAGACATTTTTTAGAACTGTATCTGCCTGCACCTCATTACAGCTCAAAATACATGTACCAAGAAGTGAAAGGGGAAACAGACGAATCCGCAATTAAAGCTGAGGATTTCCACGCTCCTCTCAGCCATGACTGAACAAATGCAAAACCAGAAGGGATAAATCCTGAATACTATCAACCAATTTGATATAATCGACAATTTTAGGAAGCACCGCTCGACAGAACACACATTCTTCAGCGCACACAGAACATCCACTGACACAGACGAAATTCTGCTCTTTATAATAAATACGCTAAGTAGGTTCTTGGACCTTGAAAGCATTAAATTAGACACCTATTAGAGAAAATATATCTGGAAATTAAACCAAATTCTTGGAAATTAAAAAGGACAAAAAGAATCACAAAGAAATTTAAAAATTCTTTGAACTTCATGTGAATGAACACCACATAACAAACTTTGCAGGACGTAGGCAGGTAAACGAAAATTTAAAATATGAGTGCTCAAAACCCAGAATGAAAGGGGGGATATCACCATAGATCCTTCGAACATGAACAGAACAAGGGAAGGCATCGGGATGCAGTGAGCACTGACACACTGGCAAGGCGGAAAACCAGAGGAGAGAAGGGGCGATTAGGGGGATCGTTGGACAAACTTCGTAAATGTCTAACCAATGCACTGTATACCTGAACCTAACACATTTTTTTTTTAAAAAAAGGAAATATAATATGCAACTTCATGTCAATAAACTAGAGAACTTACCAAAAAATGGATAAATTCCTCGAAAGACACCAATGACTAAAGCTTATTCAAGAATAAGATAAATCTGAACAGCCTGAAAGCAATCGAAGAAACTGAACTCACAGTTAAAACCTTCCCACAAAGAAACTCCAAGCCCTGAGGTATTCACTGGTGAATTCTATCAAACAAAGAAGAAATAACACGAATGACTCAGAAATTTTTTCAGAAAGGAAATCTTTCCAACTCACTCTATTATCCTGGTTTAAAAAAAAAAGGAAAAATTATTTAAAAATTACAAACCAATGTCTATTGTGAACACAGATGAAAGAAATTTTAGCAAATGAATCCAGCAATATACATTGGTTCAATATTCAAAAATCAATGTATTTGATTAAAAAATGTAATTATGCTGAAACAGGTTAAAAAATGTAAAAATACTTCTTCATAAAAATATTTAATATCCATTCATAAGAGAAAAACTCTCAGCAAGCTATGAATAGAAGGACATGTCCTCAATCTGATGAGTGAACCTACAGCTGACATTATACTTAATGGTAAAAGACAATGTTTCTGACCTAAGATGAGGAGTTGGGCAAGGATGTCAGCTCACCACTTCTGTTTAACAGTGCACTGGGATCACCAGGTGTTGCAATAAAGTGAGCCAAAGAAATACAAAGTATAAAAATTGAAAAGGAGAAAGTAAAATAGTCTTTATTCACGGACAAGATAGTGGTCTACACAGAACATTTGAAGGAATATACAATAATGCCACCAGAATGTTTAGCAGAATCACAAGTTACAAAGTTTTATATAAAAATCCATTATATTTCTATTTATTACCAAAAAATTTAAAATTTTTTTAAGCTGCCACTTATAACAAAATAAAAATATAAAATACAGATCAATTTAATAAAAATATATAATACCTGTACATTGAAAACTACAAAACACTTCTGAGAAGAACTAAAGACAACTTGGAAGGAAGGAGACCAAGTTCAAACACTGGAAGACTCAACATCCTCAAGACTTAATTCTCCCTACAGTGGCCTCTAGGATAAAAGCATGCAGAACCAAAATGCCATTAGGCTTTTTTGCAGAAATGGACAAGCTGAATCTAAAATACACAGAGAGAAATGCAAAGAACCTAGAATAGAAAAACAACTTTGGAGAACAAAGTTGGAGGATTTATACCACCTGATTTTAAGACTCACAATAAAGCTAGAGTAATTAAGACAGTGCAGTATTTTAATAGAAGAGATATATGGATCAAAAGAACACATTAGGTCAAGTGATTTTCAACAACAGTGCCAAGATAATTCAACAGGGGAAAATGTAATCTCAAATATGCTTCTGGAACAATCTGATTTTCATATGCAAAGAAATCAATCTCATCCCTTACCTTACACCATATTAAAAAATTAACTCAAAGTGGATCATAGACCTAAAATATAAGAGCCCGAAGCAGTTCCAAGACATGAAGGATAAGAAAAAAAGTAGGAAAAATTTTGCCCAATCTCTGTGTCAACTCTTCCAATTTCTACTCCAAATCAGGGCAGGATTATGAGGAAAAATCCCTAATCTGAAGCTCTCCAGTCAACATATGAACCCAGTCAACCGATGAATCTATGCAAAAGGAAAGAGCATCTCCCATCTGAGTACTCAGTAACTCCTAAGCAAGTAATCAACTCAAGCACAGCCCTCAGAGCCAATAGAAAGCCTGTCTCCATCCTCCAGCCTACGTGAATGAAGCATCACAGAGGAGTCACTAATGCTTAAATATGAGCCAAAATGTAACAGCTGAGTTATACCCACAGCCATGACTGAGGTTCAGAGAAGGCAGAGTTCTGAGCTCATGGGCATGAGAATGGCTAAATTCCTACAGTGCTTTCACTCAAATCGCTGTTTTAAGTAGTTAGCACACAAAAGAAATAGATGAGAAATGTAAGATTAAAAAAACAGCAAATAAACATTCGAAGATTTACAGAAGACTATCCAAGACTTATATTAAAAATGTGAATTAAACTTCATTATTTCCATCCTGCCTGTACATATCCAAGTTTTGGAGTGAATGATACTTTACTTCAATTGGTGGATATCATAAAATGAGCTGCTGTTCAAAATTTAACAAGAAAAATACACACCCATAAGAAACTGATATTGAAAAAAAAGTATTTCAACAAAGAACTCATTTTGTAAGTTTGTAAAAATAAGTTCTTTCTACCGTGTAATTATTCAAGGAAAAACTTAAGACTCTGTTAAATAGCAAAACTTTAAGAAAACAGAAAGTCTTAAGTACCTTTCCCAAGTTTTTTTTTAATGACATAATCATCAGGCTTCAATGATATTTAAGTATTTAAAATGTTAACTTATTATAATATACCAAAACTACCCCCGAACATTTTTCGAAATTACATCATTTTAAAATATTCTAGTACTCATATACTCATTTATTTTCCATTTTGAAAAAAAGGTAGAATTCAGATGAGGTTTCACTCATGAAAACTTATGAAGAAGATTATACATCTTAACTGGAACCATTAACCCAGACCAATATAAGTTTTCAAACCAAAATAGCCCACTCTAGGCCTTTGACTTTTTTGCCTTAAATCATAGGCCCACATTTACGAAGTCACAAAAAAGGTCCACATTTTTTAAAGGATCTCTTAAATTAGCTTAATTTTTTGCTTTGACCCTTCCATTTTTCAAGAACTATGGCTGGATTCGTCCCCTTTGTCTTTCTCTTGACAACTCTTTCCTCAGCTTACACATCTCATCTTCTCAAACCCTCCCCCGCTTCCCCCTAATACTGTCACAGTCAATAGGAACTACCTACTTTAGATCCTTTAAGGAAAAAAAAAAGGAAACTGATATGGAAATGGGAAAGATGAAAAAAATCTGAGATTATCTCAGCACTGTCAGACAAAATATGAGAAACTGTCACTATATAATATTATGCACTTCAACGACATTTTACAAATTTCCTTACATCATTAATCTCCAAAATAAATGCCAAAATAACAACTGCCAAACTCACAAGAATCTGATTTTTTTAAAAAACATTTCCATTATATTTACTTCGTATCACAGAAAAAGAAAGTGTCTTACTAGAAATGATGCATCAACAAAAAGTGCACTTAGATATGATCCTTGCAGAAAATTCTTCTTTGTTCCTTTTTCACAAAATGCAATTCCTGAATAAAGAAAAAAATAGGAGATGGGTTAGTAATTGTTCTTAACTCTAGAACAGAATTAAATATACATTACAAATTCCAACAATAACACTATGCCTGGCACACAGATCCACAAATACTTGCTAAATAGAAAAATAAAATTGAAAAGTCGGTTGTTTTACTTGGCTAATAAAAACAAAGTTAGCCAATTGAGCACTTCTAATGTGACTCATCCATGTTTTCAGGTATGACTGCAATGTTCAGCAACAGTCTATGCACTCCAAGACTCACTAATTGGTTTCCTAGGTTCCGTTTTCCTATCATCTATATCACAAGATAATGCTTGATATTTACCTGGTATACACAGCCTATTGAATTTATATTTTGATAAAATAGTTGAAAATGTTCATTGTAACATGTTCTCATTTAGGAAAAAATGTCAAAGGGTCAGTGATTTGTATTGCCATAAAACATGTTTATGTTCAAATACAATGTCTACACTTGCAGGTTTCATTAACGATGATATGAAAATTATGAACATAAAATGCCAAAAATAAGCATAAAACTGATCGATGTCGATAATTCGCATTAATAAAGGAACACTGGTGAATACTAACCAATGGGTTAGTGCATCAAGAATAATCCAGTCCTGCTTCATTTTTGCTTTGCTACCTACCCTCTTCACACCCAGATTGCCCAGGATCAATTATAATGCTAACCCAATAATTTAGAATCGCATGACTGGGTGGTTCTGGCAATCCTCAGGTAAATGAACCTTTATCAAATGAAAATGATAACTTCTCCACCAGTCTTTTGAATCTGTTTCAACAGTATCATTGTGATACTGTCATTTTGTTTCTATTTGAAATGAACACCTCCTATGGGAGGGGCAAGGACCACAAACTGCCATACACTCCTTTTATATTAAATTATTAAAAGCTCCAACTTTAAAATATAATACACACACAGCCTCTTTTTGCAAGGTTAAAAGGAGCTTGTTTCAAAGAGTCGATTTCAGCTTTTATTCTAATCGTACTAAAATGCAGACAAGAAAAAAACTCCCCAAGCATAATTTTATTACCAACTTCCAAAATCTAAAAAGTCAAAGTGAAACTACTTTTCACAGGTCCTCGAGCTAAACAAAACTAATGATTTTAATACATATTTTAACAGCTTTGTGTCAGTGTCAAAGTAGGAATGACACTTCGGCAAACTGATCCATGGTAAGTAACTGATTAAACACAAATCTGATAGCTATACATTGTGGTGTATATTCTCACATCCAAATTCATTCAGTTCTGTAAATGAACTGTTATTGATACCTGTGTTTTGTACATAGTTCTCAAGTAGTTTCTAAAATGCAATACTCTAAAAATCTAGTTTTTATAGTAATCTACAACGAAACACCCTCTGACCTTCAAAAAATAAAGCCAAAACTAAAATTCTAGTGTTGCGACTAGCTATAATTAAATTTTATATACTGAACCTCCGAATTCCATTGCTTCTGTCCAGGAGAGGGCTAGACAACCTGTACGTCTAACTGCTATCCCTCCCAAACCTGGTCCAACCAACCCCTAGCTCCCTCTACCTCTTCTTAACCTACGCTGTTACCCTGGCTACAAGCCATGGCCCAAACTGTCGAGCTCCCTGGCTGGAAACAACCTTCCCCGTTGTCGCTAACCTGGGTCAAATGTCCAATTCAATGACACCTTCTGTGAGGGCATCTTCAGGAAACCTTTGCCATCACTCCCAGGGGCAAAATTAGCTTAGTTTTTGAAGTATGAGTCTCTTCTATTACATTATATGCTTTTTTAAGAGAAGGAACTTTTTACTTTGTTCATGTTTTATCCCCGATAGGTAGTCAACATGACCCATTCAGAAAATACTTACTGAGCATCCCATATATTGCAGACACTTTCCTAGGCGCTAGGGATAAATCCCTATCTCCACCCTGGACCTCGTGAACCTTACATCTAGTGGGGGCGGCTTACAATACACAGTGAATAAGGAATACGTAAGACATGTGGCAGGTCAGTGAAAAGTCCTTAACGAGAAAAACCATTAAGCAGGGGAGGAAGTATTATCATAAGGAGGGGATTAAAATTTGAGAAAAGGCATCCAGGGAAAGCGTAATGAAATAACGAGGACGTGCAGGTGGCGTTACTGCAACAGCAGCAGTAACATCTGAGTATTTATCATCTGCTAATCGGTATCCTAATTGCTTTACATGTATTAACTGACATGAAGCCAACAATAACCTATTATCCTCAAGCGGAAACTGAAACACTGAGAAGCAACTCGCCAAGGTTAGGCAGCCAGGCTGGTGAAGCGGTGAAGCCAGGATGAGAAAGCAGGCGTGCTTGAACAGCTAGCCCTAACCACGGGTTCAATTAATGTTCTTACCGAATGAATTAAGCGGAAAAAGAATTCGTACCGTAGCAAGAGATGAAAAAGGCTGCAAAGCAAATTTCAGTGTCAGGACTGACAATTTTGAGCAGCTTCGGACACACGACGATGTACACTGCGCATCAATACCTACCTACTCGACAGATATCCCGACAATAGTGGGTGCCTACTGTGAACCAAAATGATAAAGACTGATGATTTCTCAATAACTTGTAAAACATATTTTAAATTTTTATGTGACAGTTACCTGAACTAAAAATAAAAAGTACACACTATCACATGATTAAAAAAACAAAAAACAACAACAAAAACCTTTAGAGAAAGTGCTTTGAAACAACTGAGACCCTGGAAGGCATCATCACAATCATGGTTAAACACTGAATACCAAATTTTACACTGTGGCACAATTTACTGTCAACTTCCAATTTCCCATATTAACAAAGATTAAATGAAAAAGTTCAAACTCTTGTCTTCAAATGTCTCAACTCTGCTGTATCAAGCAAACAGAAAACATCCAGTACAATTATTGATGACTGAAGAGCTGAATGGCCCAAAACAACCTGCTGCTTAACGAGTATCTCTTGCTATGTTAACTTCTTATTCGCGGGCCTGATCACTGAATGTCAATAAGCTAGAAGCAAAAATGAAAACGAGGTGCTGCAGACATGGTATTGATTCCTAAGCTGCAAAACTTAAGGGCCTAAAAACCTAAGCATCTCCTCGAATCTTGATTTTAAAACAAACTCAATACATTTATGAAGAAAATTACTGTCTTATGTTTGGAAATCCATCAAAATTTCATTGGACACCTCCAATCTGAGCATAATGCAGTATCAAAGAAAAGGTTTCTATATGAAAACAAACAGCTTTAAAATCAATGCAGATTAAGTCAAAGATGAAACTGGCAGGAAAAAAACCACAAAGCACAGACTATAAACACAATAAAAGGTGCGTACCTGCTCAAATATGAACTTGTTTGTAATTAAAACGTAGGTTTAGTGGCAATGGTGTTTTTAACTCAAATGAGGGTCAGCTCTCAGACCAAGGCCTCAAACTACTCATGCCTTATATTTCTGCTGCCAGCTAGAGTGTCAGACATGCTCCCCCGCTGAACTCAACTAGAAAACCGATCAGATATATGAAACTATAATTTTAAAACACTGGACAATAAGCAGCTCAGCATTGTGATACCTGACAAAGGGCAAGTGTCCCCTACAAATGCCTACTAGACGCAAGTCAGGAGGGCAGTGCACGGTGGACTCAGTGAGCAGAGGAGACAGGACAAATCTAGGGAGGCTGGGGCAGCCGGGATGCGGGCAGAGTGGCAGAGAGGGCGGAGCTCACCAAGAGGCAGTGTCCCTGAAGTCTGCAGAGAGGTTTCCAGAGCAGCTCTGGCCCCAAGAAACGTCATGTTAGCGTAAGATGTAATTTGAAATTTTCTACTAACCACATTTTAAAGTAAACTGAAGCAAGTGAAACTAATTTTAACATTTAAAAAATTATTCATTTAACCTAATATGCTCAAAATTTTAGGATATAACTGACCTAAAAAAAAAGATATTTTACATTGTTTTCCATAATAAGTTCCTGAAATTCAGAATGTTTTATACTTACAGCAAATTTAAATTCAAAGTAGCCACAACTGAACTCTCAATAGCCACACGTGGCTGCTAACACACTTGACAACGAATTTTTCACTGGCTATAAAACCGTGCATGAATAAAGTGAAATTCTACAAGGCCGGCAAAAAACAATGATCAGGAAGCCGTAGGCTCAAAAGCTCCCAGAGATTTACATGAGACTAGGGGAGGGGGGGCGTTCAGGTTCTGACCAGAGGGGAGAAGGTCTCACGGAAACCTGGGCGGTCCATAGAAAATGGAGCAGAATCGCGCCCTAGAAGCAGTGCTACACTAGTTCTAGAGCAAGGCTGTACCGAACCTGCCAAAACAAAATGTAAGTCCTCGTGAGAAACAAAGTCCAGATGATGGTGCTATGAATGTCTAAGAGTCCACAGAAATATTCTCCACGTAAGAAAATGAAGAAATGCGTGACCCACACCATGGAGAAAATCTGACAAAAGGAAGAGACCCAGAAACAAGAGAGATGATATCTTTAAAGACAAACTTTAAAATATTGTAAGTACATTAAAGGATTTCAAGAAAAAACAGGAAAAAGACAATTACTTTGTAAAACAATCAAGTGGGTTTCTAAAAATGAAAATGGTAGTATCTCAAAAAATCAACTGGATAGACTCAGCAACAGATTTAGTACATAATGCATGAAAAATAGATTTCTAAATTGAAGATGTAAAAATAGAAAGCAAAAAAGAAACAAACAGCACCTAAAAACAGTTCAACTGGAGTCTCAGAAGGATGGGAAGACAGAAGGAATATCTGAAAAAAATTAGGGCCAAAGAATTTCCAAATTTGAGGGAAAATGAACCCATATACTTAAGGTCGGGAGGAGACGAGAGAACTGAGATGTGAAATCGCGCTACATTCAGAGACTGCAACGTGCTGACCAGCCCTCAGCCGGACCGCAAGGAAACCTGCAGAGCAAAGGAAGATTTCCGCTGGGGTTGCTAACGACCCATCTCCCCACACCGGAAGGAGAAA